GGTGCCTCACGGCGAGTGGACCAGCGCCCCGGCACCCTGCCCGAAGCCAAAGCCTTTGGGACCAAAGTTCTTAGCGTAGCAACCTGCAGAGGACGGGAAGGGAGAGACGGGTAAGGCCGGCAGCTGAACACGGGCATGTCCCCTCCTCTCAAAGCAGGCACTGCCTAAACAGGACAGGGTTTGCCAGATTTGTTGGGCAAACAGCGAGGCCCCGGGCACAGCAGGAAATCCAGCCACCTCCCCAAACCTCAGCCCCATCCTGCTCAATGCACAGGCATTTACAGCCCCTGCCTCCACCCTTTGCAGCCTGGGACAAGCCAGCAGCGAAGGTGGCACTAACTGAGGAGGGTGGCACTAACCCAGGAAGGGGGCACTAACCCAGGAAGGTGGCACTATCTCAGGAAGGTGGCACTAACCCACGAGGGCCCGAACCCAGGGGGGTGCCGCTAACTCAGGAGGGTGGCACTAACTCAGGAGGGTGGCACTAACCCAGGACGGTGGCACTAACCCAGGACGGTGGCACTAACCCAGGACGGTGGCACTAACCCAGGACGGTGGCACTAACCCAGGACGGTGGCACTAACCCAGGACGGTGGCACTAACCCAGGAGGGTGGCACTCACCTTTGCAGTAGATCTCCCCATCTTTGTCTGCCAGGGTGGTGGACTCCAGGCTCTTGCCACACTTGGCACAGCGGAAGCAGGACTTGTGCCAGGACTGTGGGACAGGAGCAGAGCCCAGTCAGACCCCCTCAGGGACAGGGAGCAAGGCTCCGGCTACCAAACACCATCATTTCCCTGGTTCTGACCCAAAGCCCAAAGCAAAGAGGGTTGAGAACGGGCTGAAAGGTTTTCTCTGGCAAGAATGATCCTCCCAGCCCCGGGGGGAAGATACAGAGAGGAAACACCAGGTGTGGTCACTGCTCCCGTGTTGAGCTGCTTTCCCAGAGCTTTCACCCCGCTCCAGGAGTCATTGGCACAATCAGTTGTAAGGAGTAATCACCCCACTTTGGGGATTGCCCTCCTCAAGCAACAGGAGAAACCCTGCAGGTTACCCAGCTGAGCTGCACAGTACATCAGTCCCCCCCCCCACCAGTGCAGCTCCAAGGCAGGCAGCAAACGGACACTGGGAAAGCAGGAATCAGCCAGTGTTCAAAAATACCCCCAAATATCCTCCCCCCCTCCGCCTGGCTCTGCCAAGCCTCTGGGGATACATGAGCTCACAGGCCCAGGGCAGCCAGAGCTGCTCCAGAAGGAATTTAAATAAACACTTTGGAAAACATGAAACCTTTTTTGGAAGAAAATGTGAAATTCGGGGGCTGGAGGAGGAGGTCGCAGCTGGAGTCATCCAGCAAACATTAGCACATGAAATACATGCTCTGGAATCCTCCCCGGGTTTGCTCCAGTGTAATTGCTTTGCCAGCTTTGGTTGCCTGTAAACACCGAGCCAGAAGCCTACCAGGAAGCCCAGATCATGGTTTTAAGGGTAAATTCGGCTTCTGACCCTGGGCTGACCCTCAGTGTGCTCATCACAAAGCCCTGCGCTGCCAGCCGGGGCACGATGCTGCTGTGGGAGGCCCTTGCTTGTTGACTAGATGCCTCCTTCCCTTGCTCTGGGGACAGGACAAACAGAGAAGCCCCAGGGAGGACAGAGCACAGCAGGGTCAGCACATGTGGTCAGTGACCACATCTAGCAGCAGGGACGTCCCCTGTCACCTCTGCTGAGCAGGGCTCTGAATATTTAGTGTAAAATGTGTTTCTTTCCAATCCACAAGCCTGTAAGAGTGATGCAGCTGGAGAACCTGGTTTCCAGACATGCCAAGACCTCCTTTTGGTGCCAGGCTTTGGTCCCAGGCCACCAGACCCCAAGCTGAGCCTGCAGCAGCCCATGGGTCCATCCCAGACCTTCTCTGAAGGTCTCCCTGCTACACAGCAGCTCGCAGCCCATGCATGGCCCATCCACTCCAACCCCTTCGTACCTTTCCAGCTCCAATCACCTTCTCAGCTGCATACACGGCTTGGCCACAGCGAGGGCACCCATCAGCACCTCCGACTTTCTGGGCCATTCTGGATGCGTTGGGGTTGGTGGGTCGGTGGGGCTGGCCCCTGTGGATGGGAGGGAGTTCATGATCAGGGCTGCACATGATGGAGGAGGGAAGAGCTACGGGATCACAAATGCCAGCACAGTGTGTTGAGCCCCATGGAAACCTCAGCCCCATGGCTGTGCGTTAGGAGGGGATGGGAACGTGCTCAGGCAATGAGGACGTGTCCCATCAAGCCCCATCCCACCCTGCAACCAGGGTTCAGCGGGATTCCCCGAGGAGCAGAAGGGCAGAGCAGCCCACGGCATGCTCCGGATGAGACACTGCTGAAGCTCAGCATGGGCTGCACAGCCCAAGCGTCACAAGCAGAGAGATGTGGGGGAGAAGGTGCACACCACAGCTCTGGTTTCGAAAACAAGACTTAAACTCACTCTTCATATTTGATGCCCAGAGACTCGCCCTTGTCAGTGCTCAGGGTCCCTGCTCCCTGCCCGTATCCATAGCCCTTGGGACCGTACTTCTTGCCATAGCAGGACTTGCAGTAGATCTCCTCTCCATGCACAGCAACAGTGGTGCTGTCCAAGTTCTTCTTACAGACCACTGGAAAAGAGGGGAGGGTCGTTAGCCTGCTCACCCAGAGCTCACTAATTACCTGGAGAAAACAAGTCCTCACAAGGAATGGGAGATCAGCTTTCAAGGAGTAAGGAAACCTCAGACCAGATCCCGGGTAAAGGGAGTGCATGCAAAACAGCTGGAGATAAGGATCGCAACAAGAACATTGTCTGGCTTTAAAAGGAAGCAACCATCAAAGCTACAAGGTCGGCGCGAAGACAAAGCTCTGTTAACCCTCCCGATGCTGGTATCCTGCAGAGGCACTTAAACCAGGGGGGGGTTGAAATTCCCCTACAAATGCCTGCAGGACTCAGGAGCACAGGGATGGATGTCCCTGCCCCCTGGCAGACAGAGCCCTGCCACACTCCCTCTCCACGGCAAACAGCGATAGTTGCTGGGGGGAAGGAATGGAGGCAAACACATTATTCCTTGTGTTTAGACAGACCAAAGCAGACCCCACAGCTGACGGGCTGCAGGAGTTTTGGTACATGAGGCTGGTCTGCACAGTTGCCTCTCCAGACCCAGAGACCACAACAGAAGGGTTCATGCTACCGTGTCACCCCTGGTCTGTGCCCCATCCCTGGCAGTGCTCAAGGCCAGGTTGGACACAGGGGCTTGGAGCAACCTGCTCTAGTGGAAGGTGTCCCTGCCCGGGGCAGGGGTTGGAGCTGGAGGAGCTTTAAGGTCGCTTCTAACCCAAACCAGGCTGGGGTTCTGTGATCTGGGTGTGTGCAGAGGGTGGTCTCAGGTGAGGAACACTAACTCAGCTGGTGCTCAAACCTTGGGGATCAACATGGGATGTAAGACAGGACGGGAGGAGACAGCAGCCAGGCTGGAGGTGCAGCCGAGCCCATCCAGAGCTTGGGCTTGGTGCTGGGCTCAGGCTGCACAGACTCTTCTCCTGACTTTTAGGTTTCCCTGACTCCTGTCCCAGCTCTGCTCTCAGCCCCCGCGTTGGCTTAAATCCCTTCCTGGAACACGCCACCCAGCAAGCTGCAGGAGCAGCACCCAAACCGGCTCGCAGGGATCCCCAGAGCCTGCCTGGGGCAGGATCCACAGCACCGGCAGCCCCCC